AAAATGGCTGTAACGCGATTTTTTTTTTTTTTTTTTTTTTAGCAATACGCGCACGGCACGTTCGCGATACGTCGAAAAATAATTGTCCACGTACAGCTCGCATCGTTACTTCGCCTTCAGCTATCAGTCAAGATAACTACTGTCGCTAAGAGCCAGTCGCGCAATTTTCGATGAGACAGAGCGCATTCCACGGCTTCAATAATGAAAATTTTATGTAGTTGTTTGAAAAATGTTAGAGGGATGTTTTGTTCACTTTAACCTGAACACGTGCCTCTGATCATCTCATGTCGAACATCCCTGTATATATACACGAAACCCAGTATACAGGGTGCCCCGTAACTGGAGGTACACTGTATACGCAATTGCGTCGACGCAATTGCTTCTTGCTTTTTTGACACACTATATAATACATTCCTCTCTCTCTTTTAACATTTCTCACTGCACCGCGAAATAGATATCGTAATTTTTGCAGAAACGGATTTTCAAGCAGATGTTAGCCTTCCGTTGTTATCTGCGATTGCGCGGAAATGGAATCACTCTCTCGAGCCCGAATAGCGCGAGAATGTGTGTAGCAAAAATAAAAAAAAAAACAGTTATAAAACGAAAAACGCACGATCGAACGGACGGTAAAATGAAAACGCGGTAGACGAGAAAATTTGCTACGGTGTGCGAAGCGAAAAAGACGAATTCTCTTAAAGAGAAAGTGTCTACCTGTGTGTTCCTCCTTCCTGTTCGCGCGTCGCAAGGACCACTACTGCTCCTAGAGCCAATCGATCACAAAACACTCGAATTGGGAAGCTACACACTTCGCCAAACAAAGTATAAAAAACAAACAAATAAAAAAACCGAAAAAACAAACAACGGCGCGCTGTGCACGCGCTGTGTAAAACAAAAAAAGTAAAAAAACGCACAAAATTGCACAAATTTGTCGAGGGACTGCCATGATCTGTTGTATTTTCGCTTTCTCCAGCAGCTACCCCGAGGGGATCAACGGCGGATACTATGCTGGCGCACTACCCGTGCAACAGGCGCACTCGACGACTCCTCACGATTCAGCGCCCCCACCACCCGGCGGGCATTCCGTCGTCGGCGGCGGAGGCGGCGGCGGCGGGGCCGGTGGCGGCGGGCCCAACTCGTCGGCGGGTGGCGCCGGCGGCGGCGCTGGCGGGCCGCAGGGCCCCGCGGGTCCAACGGTAGGCGGCGGCGGTGGGGCCGGCGGCGGTCCCGCGGCGGCGCCCCCCACCGCCGGCCTGCCCGGACTACCACACAGCATAGTGAGCGAGCCCGACCCCCGACCGAGCCCGCCCGCCCCGAGTCCCCGTTGACCTTGAACCCCTTAAATGAGAAAGAAAGAAAGCAAGGGAAAAAAAAGAAAGGAAACCGAGTAACAGACGAGAAAAAAAAAACAGAAAAAAACACCTCACAGCTACGCCCGCACCACCAACACCACCATCACCACCACTATCACCACCATCACCACCACCACAACAACCACCACAACAACCATCACCACCTCCACCACCATCACTACCAAAACACCACAATCATCCGCTATCCACCACCAAATACAAAAACAACACCAACCATCACAATCAATCAATCATTCAATCATTCATTCATTCAACCAATCACTACCATCCTCCGATATGTTCTCTAATTTTGCGCCCCTCCCTGCCCCTTCGATGATACGATGATGCGATATTATTATTACGGCGACGATGATGATGATGATAATATGATTAGCCATTCACACACGATGACACACACGACGACGAGAATTTTATAGAGAAACGGCCCGAGAGATCGAGATAGATCTATACACATATACACACACATACGGTGTTGCAATTGTAACGCGCGCGCCCCGAAAATCTGTCCGCTGCTTCCGAAGTACTCGAGGGGATCTGTTCTTACGAGAGAGAAATAATGAGCAAGAGAAATGAAAATGTATGAAGAAAGAGATACAGAGAGAAAATTCAAGGAGAGTGATTGAATGTACGAGAAAAAACGAGCGAGCGAAAGAGAGAGAGAGAGAGAGAATGATGCTGAGAGTTGAAAAAGACGCGCACGTGCGAATATGTGCTGCTGCGATGTATTGTGTAATAATGTGTGCGTGTGTACGTTTTTGCGTTCGCGTTTGCATTTGTAAGAGTCTCTCGAACGGAGAGCGTAATTTCCGAATGTAATAATTATATAAGACCAAGCAAGTCAAATACAGTTGGACACTGTAATGCTGACGAAAGCAACCGCGATCGCCGGCCCATCCTCGACTCGCGCGAGCTGGGGAACTTACCTTCGCTCTTCGTCGGTCCTTATTTATCAAGGACTTGATTTCTCAAGGTAAAAAACACAGGTCCGCGAGACGCATCGCGCAATTTTGGAATCCTAAATTCTCGACGATCGTTGGATGATTTATATTCAAGCATCGCTCGTCGTTTGGTAAAGAAGGACAGAGTGTAGAAAGGACCATTGCTCCCTCAATTAAATCCACTTATCTTCACGGAAATGACGCGCTTATCTCGAAAGAACAGAGAGAAAGAAGGAGGCAGACAGTTGATCTTGCGACAGTTCTGATAGTTTCAATTTGCACACCTAATCACACAAATTGTGATTTTCTTTCCTAAGTACGAACTCTGGACAGTGTACCAGCAGTTCTTTTCAACATCATCTGACATTGTCAGATACGTCCATGTCAATCGTGCGCTCTTTCTTTCTCTCTTTCGCGCGCGCGCTCTCTCTCTCTTTCCAAACATTTGATTTTATCGAGACGAAAAAGATAAGAAACTGTCAAAAGCTCGTACACACAGATCAGCATAATAGCCTTGACAAAGTTGTCCAGTGAGTGGATAACAGCATTAGCTATATTTTATCGGTGGACATACATTGGCCCGAAAATTTTTGAAATTCGGAACCTGGAATAATTTCCCGAAAAATCGCAACATCGAGACAGTATCTCGAAATCTAATAACGTAACTCTAAAATTGTCTGGGATGTGCTCAGAATGTCCTAGGATACTCCTGAATATTTTTTCAGATTGTTTCAAAACATCTTGTACTATCTAGGAATATCCTAAACTATACATTTGCAAGGATGAATAATTACCCCGAAAATAATATAACAGGTGTATTATTATTTGGATACATTTTGGTATCCAAATAGGCAAATACTGATGCACTCACCTATACAACGAAACAATTCCTGCATTTAAGCAAAATTTCAAGACATTGTCTCAGATTTCGATATTACGATTTCTCGGGAAATTGCGTATCCCACTTTCTTATAGGAATTTCTGAAACGATATAACTATGTCTTATCGAGACTATTATGCTGATCTGTATACTCGCTGCAAATGACTACATATATCAAGTTGATCGGGAAGTTTCGCCCGTTATTTCGTTCTTTTTTCTCTTCATGTTGTTTGACTATGTCAGGCACTACTGACGAGCAAAAAAATGATCAAACTTGCGAATCTCGTGGTTTTGCTCACCTTGATATATTTATATGTGAAGTGGGAAAAAGGTCCGAGCGTGACGCACATGTAGAAAGAGCGAGCGAGAGAAGCGAATGGAAGACTGATGCTGCGTTTAAGAATGCGATTATGCGACGATTTTTCGGTGGAATTTCCAAAGGAGATCGACCGTAATTTTTATTTACTTCTATTCGACTAATACGGACGGCGTGTACAATTTTCTATGTTCTTTTTCTTTTGTTTCATATCTAGACGAATGTCAAGTGAGTGTGTGTGTGTGTGTGTGTGTGTGTGCACGCGCGCGCGCGCGCGCGCGTACAACACACCCGCGACAAGTTCTTCCCTTCTCGTACTCGTAGCATCGTAAGAAAAGAAAGGAAGGAAGATAGCAAGAAAGAAAGAAAAAATGGAAAAAAAGAAAGAAGAGGGCGGGGGCTCTTCGCGAAGACGAAACACGAGCGGTATGAACCGAGATTACTGCTATTTACCGTAAAAAAAAACGAGATATATTTGTGTTTATAGCCTATTCGTCGCGTTGTAGGCTGAATTATTAAGTTAGTTCAAGACACGACACTCTTCCAGTTTTATAATTCGTCGAGTGTTCATCGGCGACATATTGATCTTTTTAATTGATCGATCGATCTTTTTCGTAGGACTCTCAAGCGTCTATGTCGCGATTTGCGATTTTCCTAACTTCTCAGTCGACTATTAATTTCTTTCACCCCCCCTCCTTCTCTTCCCTTATACGCGTTATTCTTTTTCTTTTTTCTTTTTTTTTTTTTTCAATTTGAAACCTTATAATCCCTCCTCGATTGTAATATCGACGACGCATCTTATACGACATTTCTCTTTCCACTCATTATTATGTTTATTTCGAAATAACTGTATTATATCGAATGTTTTATTACATCTCAATATATTTGCTTAATGAACATACGAGAATAGCACAGAATTTCTTTCCCTTGCATACACACAAATCCCAGTTCGTTCCGTGTCGAGTCTGTGGGGAAGCATTTTGGAAGCTTCCTCACTTAGACTCTCGTCGTACAGCGCGTCATACATTAATTTGTCAGACTGTATTTGGGCTCGCATGTGTCGTTCAGAGAATGAGGAACAGATAAGAAATTCTGCTCGATTGAACCCTTGCAATTGATCGAGAAACGTTAATTCATTGTCTTGCCAAACGAAAATGCGAGCGAACGAACGAGTGAGCAAGCGAATGAATGAGCGAGCGAGCGAGCGAATAAGCGAGCGAACGAATCAGCGACATTTCTTTCGAGACTGGTGGAGTCCGTTTTGTTTTCGATTAGCGGTGTGTTTGTAACACGAAAGTATCGTTGAGATACTGCAACGGGAGAAACGTAGCTCTGTCACAAAATATCAATATATATATATATATATATATATATTGATATATAAAATTCATATATATACATACATATTGCATTCTCCTTCGAGTCACGAAAATGCTACATGAATGGCGGCAAAGAGGTGATTGAAGCGTCAACGGCCTTTACATACATAGTATATATACAGCTTGCGATAATAAGATAGTAAGAAATTGACGCGACAAGTCTTAATGCTAAAAAAGGAAAGAAAAGATTTTTTTGTTTTGCATTTGAGACAATTCTCTCTCTCTCTCTCTCTCTCTCTCTCTCTCTCTCTCTCTCTCTCTCTCTGCTGGTTGCGAGAGAGAACCAGTCTGTTAAACGCTCATATTTTCCTTTTTCGTGTCGCGTATATTAAATGACTATAATAATTGTAGACTCTCAATTATTATATAAAGAATTTTCCGTGTATGTATATGTGTGTGTATGTATGTAATGTGTATATATATACACACAAAAATTGTTGCGCGATATATTTGGAGCTATTATTCGTGGATTAAATTTAAAGTTGCACGAGAGCAGTTAATAATTAATGCACGGGAGTAGACACTTCATATAAGTTATAATCGCGGAATTCGATAAATCCCGATTATTATTATCATTATCTCAAAAAGCGCATTTGTCTTATCGAAAATTAAAGTCGGAGCTTACTTTCCGCAGAAGCGAAAAGTTACTTGTCGGTTCTTCATTTTGTTTTTTTATTTTATTTTATTTCGAGAAATTCAAGAAGCACTCTTCCAACGCTCTTAACGTTATAATTGACTGAATTCGATACGAGCGGGAACAATATTGGAAAGATAATGAGTATATGCGTACATAATTGTTATTCGCGAAGAAATGTCGCGAATCTTGTGCAAAATTACTTATTTTAATTCTCGGTTTTCGTTAATCGAGCGATTCTCGCCTTGACGTCTCGACACGATGCAGCATCTTCGTCACAGAAGGATGATCGCGTGAGGTATGTCACAATTAGCGAGCATTGTCGATAAAATTGGCAAAATCTTCCATTGATAGAGAAGGGGTTGTCTGAAGAAAACAAAAAAATTACAGAACAATTCGTGTTTCTTCTACGAGCATGTATCCGTCGATAATTGTCTTTGAACGAGTGGAATCGCGAGAGGTGTAAAAGTGAGAGAGGAAGTAAATGCAAGAGAAAGAGAGAGAGAAGAAAAAAGAGAGTAAATGTGCGAGAGAGAGAGAAAGGGAGAGAGTAAATGCGAAGGAGAGATTGTGAGAATGAGAGAACAAACAGAAACAAGTTTTATTAACTGATAATTATAATACGATTATTGTATCGTGTGCAAAGTAATTGCGATCATGCGAGAACACTTGGAATATATTATGGAAAAAGATAAATAATTAGATGGAGAAAAGAAAGAAAACTGCAAATAAGGGAGGAAATTAATAAGGGAGATTTTTTTCGAGAGAAATTATAGAACTGATATTGCTGATGATAATAATTAAATAAAAGAAAAACAAGAAAATATGCGAAATCTGTTTTGGTGAGAGGGAGAGAGAGAAAAAGAAAGACAGAAACGTACGCACGCACAGGTACATACACATACATTCATTCATTCATTTACTCACTCATTCAATCAATCATTCACTCACTCACACACACAGAGATACGCGCGCATATTTTTTTCAGTTTTTCACCGCTGACTCCTTCTAGTTGAGTTCTAACGAAAAAGATTTATCGTGTGAGGTGACTATTGGTATGGTATCTTCCAAGTAAATCAATGACTGGTTAATGATTCTAGTATTAATCCGACAGCTTCTCAGAGAAGACGCAATATCGTCTGTTAATCTCGACATAGCCTTCGTCCCTTTCCGCTCTCGAAGAGGTGGTTCTTGTTTTTTCAATTGCTGTGTGAAGATTGCAGCTTGCTCTTTGACAAGTGTTCTCTTCGTCGTTGAGAATTTTTCATACGTCTTGACATTAACGGACGGTGTTGTTACAAATGTGATTCTGTGCGAAAGAAATTCTCGAGAAAGTCCTTAGGTGATCTTTGTATTGCAATTTACCGTCGTTGACCGCTGAAATCATTCGGTACATAAAATGAAACACAGGAGACAGTTCGAGTTTGACATTCGCGAAAGCTTCTCCTACAACCCGCGACCGACTTTCGCGAGGCTCCTCCGAGCTTTTCAAGCGAGCGAGCGCGAAAATCATTCCAATTTGGACGTTAGAGAGGGAAAGCGGAAGAGAGAGAGAAATAACAGGTCATAGCGGATGATTAGATATGAGACAGACGACAAGTATGCGAGCGAGCGAGCGAAAGAAAGAGAGAAAATGAGGATATGAAGCATCACATATAGACACGCGTTTACACATTCTCTCATACATTCATACATACGTACGTATACACACACGCACACACATATACATACACACAGAGAGCGCGTGACAGACATAAACATTTTTAAATAGAATACGCTACGTACATAAAGGTACACAAGATACGTCTATTGCGTGACGAGGTGGTCCTCGAAGGGCGAGCGAAAAAAAGAGAGAGAAAGAGAGTATTAATTATTTAGATTATTATTAGAGAAAAAGAGAATGAAAACTAGAAGAAGAAGCTGAAGAGGAATAAGAAGATGAACAAGACCACGCAGAAGAACCAACTCGTCTCAGCACGGTCGTATCGTTACAATAACGTAGAGACATTATATATACCTTTTTTTTGCAAGAATATTATTATAAATACGTCATTATATATATAAATATAAATATAAATATATAAATATAAATATATATATATATAGAGAGAGAGAGAGAGAGAGAGAGAGAGAGAGAGAGTGAGTGAGCGAATCAGCGAGTGAGAGAGGGGGGAGGGTGAGGGAGTGGGGGAGGGAGAGTGAATGAGAGTGAGAGAGAGAGAGAGATATGTCGCTTTTAATCAATCAGTTCTTTTTTCCTTAATCAGTTTTTCATGTGCGTATAATATTTGTATAGATAGATAGTTCCTTTCTCCCGCCCTCCCCGCTCCCCCTTATTTTCGTCTTCTATTCGTGTTCTTCATTTCGTTCTCGACGTGAAAAAAGAGAGAGACAGAAGAGGAAAACGGCACCAACAAGACTACTATTACTACTATTACTACTATCGCTACTACTACTACCATTACTACAACGCGTCTTCGTTTTTCGCGATTTGACGAAAGGGAGAAAACGATATAAATCGAAGTGTACCGACAAAAGAATGAAGAGAATAGAGCCACACTTTTTAATGATAAATAAAATAGGGAAAATCGTGTTGAGCGAAAAAGTTGTCGAGAGAACAAGCAACACACACACATTAATATTATAATTAATAATAATTATAATAAATACAATATTTGTACAATAATCGACGGTGCTCTCTGTGTGTACGTATGTGCGTGTGTATATATAGTGGATTATACAAAACATCTGACACGAGATTTTATCAAAAACACGTGTGCAGATAGGTTAGATCGAATTGAACAAAAAATTTCAGAAAATAAATTCCTGAATGAAGAAAGATTAGCGAGTCAATGTGTGCAATGTTGCGAGACGAGCTCTCTCGTTCGCCAGTCTTCTCAAAATTTCTCAAAAATTGTTCGAAAAGTAGTGAAGGAATTTTTTGTTCAAACTAATTTATCTGCACACGTGCTTTTGACAATCTCATGTCAGCTATCCTGCATACACGCTCCTTGCCCGTGTTTTTTATGTTCATCTACCTCCCTCCTCCTTCCTTTTTTGATTATAATTTACAATTTATCGATTTATGACAGTTATCACGTTACGAAGCATGGACGAAGATACATCAAGAAATTGCTAAGTTACATCTAGAATTACAAAAAAAAATAATTTCTTGCAAAATGAAAATTTTTGTTTCAGCTGCACGGGCGGGCTATGCTCTTGCCTGACATGCTGTATTTTGCGATAAGAAGTGTCATACGTAAGCGCAAATTCAGCGAGAATGGAAGCATAAACGAGCTTTTGCCATTTAAGAAAATAGCTATCTTCCTTTGATTTTTACGTCGCGTTTTATCTTTGTAAGTTCCAACGGAGCAATGTGACTTGATTTTGAGAATTGGAGAAGCAGTGTGCTAATTAAACTCGTTATTTCTGTAAGTCAATATAGAATACGGTCAATATAGATACTGTTTATAGCCATCACTACTTCGATTCCGTTAAGGAAAGTAGCGGATCGTAGCAAAAACTTTGGAACTAATAGCATGCTCGACTGGCTCTGGGTTAACCCACTCTGGGTTATTTAGCCTACGCTTATTGGTCGAACAAGTACTTATAAGCTTTATGATTAGCTAGTAGAGACTTATGACGTCATTAATCGCTCTTGGAGCGGTTAACCCAGGGCCAGTCGACACGCTATAACTTAAAGAAATAATGGGTCTAAGGAGCACATTAGCCCGTTATTTCTATAAATATTGGCCAATACGAATGTTGTTTATAGCTACCATATATGGATTGCTTTCCAACAAGAGACATAAATCGACACAAGTATCATCCTATCTTTGTTACTCACTAAATGTGGAACAAATAGCGTGTCGACTGGCCCTGGGTTAATCGCTCCGAGAGCGATTAATGACGCCATAAGTCTCTAGCCAATCATAAAGCTTATAAGTACTTGTTCGACCAATAAACTGGGCTGAATAACCCAGAGCCAGTCGAACATGCTAAAAGCTATCTTTTATTATTCTATGAATGATGTTTGTGTCAACTTGTGTTTCTTGTTGGAAAGCAACCATGTAATACTAAATATGGCGCGTAGAGCTCTCAGCGGTACCGCAACACTACGGTGCAGACAATGCTCGTCTGTCTTTTTCTATATCAATATCAGTGTTCTGTCTGTGTAAAATGCATGTGTAAGGGCTATCGCACACAAATTGACATAACTGCATATGCATAGCATAAGACCGTATGTACCAATGAGCATCGAGTATTAAGTCGCCATATTGGTGTTCGATGCTTAATATTCGATGCTCATTGGTCCATACAATCTTATGCTATGCATATGCAGTTATGTCAATTTGTGTGCGATAGCCCTAACGTTTGGGAGCGGTGCACTTGGACACGGTGCATTTGGACACAGCCAATCACAGCACCGTGTGATTAGAGACATTTGTAGGGTCCCTTGGAACAGCGACTTGTGATTGGACTGTGTCCAATTGCCCCGTGTCCAACTGATATACACCCCTAACGTTTACCCTTCCATCATGGTATAATGGCTCTTGCACACAGGACGCGGTAATGCTTGCCGCGCGGCGGAAGTTCGCGGATATGTAGGAGCCATAAGGCTGAGTTCCCACTTAGCGCGTCACGCGTCGCGTCGTCCGAGTTAAGCTAATCAAATCGTCCCATTTTATTCGGCGTAAAGTTACGCAATAAAATGGAACGATTTGATTGGTTTAACTCGGACATCGTGACGTGTGACGCGCTAAGTGGGAACGCACCTTAAGCCAATACGATTAGACCTGACGCCTAATGCAGGATTTACACCGCGTCCGATATCTCATGTACGATCATTTTTCCGCAATAATTAAATAATAATCGAATAAATTAAATAATAATCAAATAAAGAAATAATAATACTCAAATATTAAATGGTAGTGATAATAACATCTGCTCAACAATCGTGTGATAATATCCGCGAGTGGATAATAAAGAAATAATGATTGAATAATCGGTAATAACAATACCTGGGTAACAGTTCTAACGAAAACTTTAGGCTCAACAAAGGCAACAAAATAAACAAACCGGCGTAACGACTCGCTCGAGCCGCTGACTAGGCGCCGCGGAGGGGGGGCGGCCGGATAGATAAGCACGCATGCGCGAGCACGTGCTCGGGAGTCACGCTACTACGCTATCAGCCGCCGAGGCGAGCGCGTCGCGGGAGCCGTCGCGTTATTTTCTAAATTATTTCGCGCCGATTTTTAAAACCACATTTTAATTTCGCCACAATTAAACCGATAATTAATACGAGTTGAGACGCGTACTTATCACGCAAGCAGGTGTTGCGGACTTTACCGCAGCAGGTAATTACCGCGTTTTATTTACTTTTTTACTTAAATAGAGAAACGTCGCGATCGAGTTCCTCAATGCCGATCAAATATTATCATTACCATTTATTATTCAAGTATTATTATTTCTTTATTCGGTTCATTTAACTATTTTTATTACGTATTGGGAAACAACTCGAATGCCGTTACGACGATTTTCTTACCTCGTATTGCTGTCATGTGTAATCAGAGTTGTAAAAGTATCAATTAAATTTGCCTCAATTTGACAGAGTTGGTGCAAAAGTGAGTTTCACTTATTTGAATTCGTAATTAAAAATCCGATAAAACTGGAAATTCTTTTGTTTGGAATCAAGTTCTGTAATGCCTCCATTGTCGTGTGTAATATTAAATTAAATCTGCTTTGTGTTACAGAGACGAAGCAGACTAGCCGACTCTTAGGGGCTGCTGCGCTGAAGGATCCGGCTCGGGCCAAGCGGGGTTAGCTCGAAGGTTAGTTTCCTTAATTAACATTTGTCATTAAAAATCCAATAAGATTCATAATTCTCTTGCTCGAAATCGAGATAATTTGAATCGAATCAAAGATCGCATTAAATCGTAATTACACGCGGGAAAAATTTTCCCTGAGTAATATCACCACTTGAAAAATGTTAATTTGTTTTAAGAAATTTACAATAAACATCGAGAAAAAGGAAATTGGGATATTCTAAATGTGAATGCATTCTGAAAAACTCTACCAGCGTGAAAAATATCACGCTGGTATATTTTTTTTAATATTTTAAATTTTTTTACTCAAACTGACATCAATCCACGAAACTAATCGGCAAAAAATTTTTCTGTTCCAGAAACGAAAGCAGAACGTGGCTGCCCTCGATCGGCGGATCGGTGAGTCAAATAAGAAAATAAATTGGGAATAGAAAGACAAAAGTCTTTCTATGTAATGCATGTTTATAATTCAATGCGATTTACTTTGCTGTGATGTAGTGTGTGTATGTGCCGTCCAATAAAGCACGTTGCTCGAAATATTTGAAAGATCGCTTTTACAAATAATAATATTAGTAATAATGCATTTTTATATAAATTTGGCAAATTTTCAAGTATTTTTCTCCCAATTGCCATTAAAGTATCGAATATATGTTCTAAATTCAAAATTTTATAAAATTATTCAGTTTTATTAAATGCGATCTTTCAAATGTCTTAATCAGTGCGCCAATGCGCAGAGATTGCGCTATAGAGATTGCGCTACAGAAAATGCGCAATCACATCACCCGCCTCAATAGATCTTCCGCCGGTCGTTAATTTTTCCAATTTTCTCTCTCGTGTAAGCTTGTGTCGCGATTGCATTTCGTAAAGTATAGAGTTCGTCATTAAATAAAATTCGATGTCGTGCGGTATCTGCACGAAGCGATCTAACGTGATTACTTAAACTGCTCGCGAAATTAATTTCACGATCGTCGGTAAATTTTCAGGTTTCAATTTTTTACTTAGAATTTCCTAACACGGAACAAATAGTTAATGTTAGCGAGCGTTGATCCCTCGCGAAAAACGCGATATATACAAATCATATGCGAGCAGTTGTTTGTTTATTTACGCGGCGCGCGACGAGTTCCATCGAACAAAACAGGCGTCTTACGCGGTAATATTTTTTCGCGTGAATTTTGAGTAGAATCTTTATTTCTATCGTCGCAATTTTTATAGTTCTTGATTTTTCATTCACGCTTGCATTTTCGATTATATGTTTTGATAAATTTGCGAATTTAACCGGTTCGTATTTGCGGAAGAATCGAGAGCAAACTTCGCAGAAATTCTGCGGAGCTGTTATCCGCAAAAGCATTGTGGAATTGTCTTCGCACAAATATTGCGGAGCTGTTATCCGCAAAAATATTGCGGAATTGTCTTCGCAAAAGTATTGCGGAGCTGCTATCCGCAAAAATATTGCGGAATTGTCTTCGCAAAAATATTGCGGAGCTGTTATCCGCAAAAGTATTGCGGAGCTATATTGCAGCCTACGCTGCACCATCGAAACGTCATATTAGGGATATTTCACGTCGTACGTGAGAATCTCGCACAGATTACTTCGCCCACGCGTCGAAAGATTTCGCGAGATCGGCCTTCGATTCGTGCCGCGTGTTTTCTTCGCTCGCGGATTCCGTTTTCTTCGTAAGCGACTCGCGTCATGCGTGTATCAAAGCAATACACTACAACTCGATCGGACCGTTGCTGAATTTGTCACACATACTCTTCGTTTATTCGAAAGGCATTATCTCGAAGACGCAGTTCGAGATATTTCATACGCAATTCGCAACTCGGAGTGTATCCCCCAAGAAAGACGGGATTTTTCGTGAAATCTCTGGTTAGATTACCGCGGTCGGAAGTGAATTACAGGCGACGTGAGACGCAAGGACCGTTGCAGTGTCAGATGCAGCGACAGGATGGCTGGTGGATCCTGGACACCGTGGGACGACGCGCAATGGTGAGCGCCTCATATTTAGACGCTCATATAGTAGTTAGCGTCACTTTACGTAGATTAGCATGCACGTAGACGTAAATCGCATTGGGTCCGACGGGAAATAAAGTAAGAATTGGAATTTGTAATTCGCCGGAGTTACGTAAGAATGATCCAACCAAAGAGTTTAGCTCTGAGATTTTCGCAATAGTTCAACGAGTCAAGCATTTCCATTTCTTTAAGACTGACTAGCTTAATCCTTAGAAAAATATGCAAAAAGACTGGTAAAAAATAAAAAACTGTTTCTTAATTCATTTCAAGCATAAGGCTTGAATTTTTTTGTTTAGCTTAAAAAGATGTGAATGGAGTATCCATTGATAAAAGTTTATAATTTTTTGAATTGGATCACTCTCGCATAACAATGGCCAATTGAAATTTCGATACGACAGGCTTCCTTCCCATTGGATTATTTCTTGATGATATATTAAATTGATAATCAACATGTATAATTTCAACATGTCATATTTATATGCTATATACAGAGTGGACCATTTTCATCCAGTCGAATATGTCGAAAACCAAGCACGGGAGAGAAAAATGTTTCAGACAAAAGTTGTAAGGCTTAAAAAAACGCATTCAACAATAGTAGTTATTTGACATAGGATGGCGTCGCCAAGGTCAGAACAAGGTCAACTTTGCTTTTTTAAATAGAAATACATATTTTTTATTACGGCATTTTATTCAACGTAAAAACGCAAATAACTTTTGCTTGAAAAAATTTTTTATACGACCTCTATTTTCTAAGATATTTACGTAAATATCTACAAGATTATTAGTTTCAATAATTTTTTACTTGAATTCTGTCAACTTTAGCGGAAAATATGAAGAGATAAAAATTGTATATTTTGTTCTCATAGAGCTCTGAGAATTTTTTCAGAATTTTATATTAACTTTTTAGTACTTCATTTTCTTACATTTTCTTGAATCCCTCAGTCCCTCAGTCCCTACCTACAAATCAAAATTTTTGCTCAGGGAAACGAACTCAAAAATGTTGATTAGTAGGGATTGAAAGCTCATAAATAGCTCCTAATTCTGAGCTATTCGTTTTTTAGTTTTCACGT